TGATTCTAGAACAACCACATCTGTCGTAGAATAATACAGAAAGTTAAATTTTTAAAAATCCACAGAAGTTAGGGTGAGCAACAAGACAATAAGGAAGTAAGTCTAAGCTACTTGGCTAACCATGACATTTTGAATTGTCCTGAATTTCCAGTACTCTGGAGCAATGACTTATGAGCATGAGCCTTTTTCAAAACCCCGTGGCTTGCTGAACCTAAGTCACCCGTGTTTTGGAGACCAGATGATCTGAAGAATGGACTCTATCTTCAAATTAGTAATAAAGAATACATGCATTTTTTCTCTTTTCAATGGCAAAAATGAAATTCTCTGTTAACACTATAATATGAATGCTCCCCCTCCAAAAATTAAATCATCACACTGTCAGATGAGTAAAATTTTGACAATATCAAATAAATTTATCCTTAATGAATCCTTTAAACAGTCTTATTGCACATCTCTTATAACGCTTTCAAGAAAAAAGGAGCACACTCTTTAGTAGACCTGACTATAGATGTCTTTCCTTAGCAGGGGACTGACTTCCAGTGAAAACAAATATTTGTTAATTTAATAGCAGCAAATTACTTAAAGATCTTAAAATCTGTGTGCCACACGACACTACTAAAATAGTTAAATCGTTTTCAGTTTTCTTTCTTATCCACACTATCCAAATTTAGCTCTCCGAGATTCTTTTCAAAAGTCTGCATTTTATTAAACAACAACAACTGGTTATTGCGCTGATTCTGACCCATGGCAACCTCACAGGGTAGAGTAGAAACTGCTTTCCAGGGCTTCTGAGACTGTGAAACCCAGTGGGAGCAAGCCTGGCCGATCTTTTCACCGGTGTCCATTTGGCTCCGACTGCTGACATTTTGGTGGTCAGCCAAATACTTAACTCCGTGTGTCACTGGGGTCCTTTCAGTCTGAATTTGAGAGAAGACATTCCCCACCCCAGCCCCTTCAAAAATGATTTTCCCGAGGCCAAATGAAACTCAGACTGTAACTTTTCTTCCATAGCCTCGTTTCTTTAAACCTGGCTCAGGTGAAGAAAGAAAACAATACTAAGTTGGTTTTCATTTCAAAATCACCTTCTCTCTCTCCTTTTTCTTAAATGGACCACAGTCTGTAATAGCTAATTTAAGTTACTTGTAAAGACCTATATTCAACACACACACACACACACACACACCAAACTCACTGCTGTTGAGTCAGTGTCAGCTCGTCATGACCCCAGGACAGAATAAAACTACCCCTTTGGGTTCCCGAGACCATAACTCTTTAAGGGGGTAGAAAGTCCCATCTTTCTCCTTTGGAGTGGCTGGTGGCTTTGAACTGTTGTCTTTGTGGTTAACTGCCTAATGTGTAACCACTATGCCACCAGGGCTCCTACACACACACACACACACACACACACACACACACACTCCTAACAAAATGAATCCTTTTATTAATCTTTCATAATATTAAGACAATTTAATTCATAAGCATACTTGTCATGAAATCAAAACTGAGCTCTTTGAAACAGAAAAAGTATACATTTATTTCATCTTATCATAGCGCCTAAAGGTAAATTGTATATTTTATAAACATTTTGTTTTATAGAAAGGCCTTGTGATACCAATCAAAATTTAATAGGCTTTTCCACAATGCACTCTTTAAAAGGACTAATTAAAGATCACAAAAGGCAGTTTGTTCAATGGAGTGGGGAAAGAAACGCAAAAAATGCAAAGAATGCTCATCGTCAGGTTGAAAGAGAAGTTCATGGTGGACTCTCATGCACCAGTTTTAACTGGTTCACAAGTTTAACTCATCCACCCTTCTGAACTTGGTCTTCCCTCCCAGTGGGTGCCATTTGGGGTGAAAGTCAGACGCTCACTCTCACAGACTATAACCCAGATGCCTGTGTTTGCCCTTGTGGCATTGTCACGAGGGTTCCCAACCAACTCCACCACACGCTCAACACAGTACAGCATCCTCACCACCACACAGACACGCAGAGGTAGCCACCTGACTTCATGTCGTTTCAGTTAGATTAACCTGTTTCAAAATGACTAAAATGTTTTTTTCCCAGGTAGCCAGCAGTATTCTAATGGGCTTTGGGTAACAGAATGCCAGTTCCTATTGCATGAGTCGAGAGCAGGCATTGTATCTCCCTAAGGCTCAAACACAAACATGTGTCCCAAACAAAAGGGGAGCTGTCACTCATCCTAACACTGTTCACAAAGTGCTTGCACAGTCGCAGCAATGGTGATGCAGTGCCTTGAATATAGATATGTATGCATACACTCCAAATCTCATCACCATCAAGATCGATTCTCATCCTGAGACTGTTAACTTCTCCTCTTTCCCCTGAGAAGTGGCTGGTGGGTTTGAACTGCTGACCCTGTGGTTAGCAGCCCCTAGCATTAGCTCTTTGAAGAAATAGAATTACCTCCCTCAAACATCCAAATCCAACACAGCAAAACCAAGTACTATTTTCTTGGTTTTCTCTGGGTCACAGAAGGAACCTACCACCTCATCAGGATGCCTCTTTAAAATGTAAATACATTTATTTTTTGTTACCCCCACAAGCTGTGCCCACAACAGTGTGACCCCAGAGCTCCTCTCAAAATTGGAAATAAATGCCAAGCCTATCTTCAGATGATATCTGGGCTGCGCCAAGCCAAGGCAAACAAAACCAGAACCCCAGAATGAAACTGCAAAGGCAGTCGAATGTTTGCAAACAGGAGAGAAAACGAACGTTTAACCGCTCACATCTGAGAAAACATATAGAAAGATGATAAGACTTAATAAAGTTTCTAAAAGCCTCAAAATACAGGTTTATTAATTCCAAGAGAGCTTGCTTTGTAGGAATCTCTAAGGGATTATTGAAAGGTGGAGCAAACACCCCCCCCCCTTTCTCTGGCACCAGTCCTTGACCCACATTTGTCCCCCGAGATCCCACCAGGAAAGACAGCTGTGTTAGACAGGGTTCTCTAGAGAAACAAAACCAGAATGCTAATAATTTTTCATATATTTATACAGATAGATATATAACATAAGAAATAAACAGTTAATTAAATTATAAAACAGTACAAATGGCTCAGTGCAGTTCACTCCCTTGAGACAGTTGTGAGACACTGGCAGTCCTTTAGGTCTTGAGGGCCACCAGGTAGTCCTCTATAGAGCAATTCAGACTATCCGGGCACAGGCAGCAAACAGCAAGGCAGGTCACCAACAGTCAGCCAGATGACAGGGTCCGACAGTCCCCAGCTGTATATTCCAGTAGGGTGGTGAAGCAGGTCTTGAAGGAACCTCAAATTACAGTGATACAGTCCACGGGTTAGGTGTCCCACAGGTAGTGTAGCACACTGGTCCGATGATCAAAGAGCAAGAGACAAGAAGGGCGAGGCTCGCCAAGCCATTTATCTCTTCAGCCTTCAATTAATCCCACATGTGTTTATCGGCCAGATTGGCACAATAATCTATCTCAACAGCTTTGGAACTCTGCCAATGATGCCATTGGTTTTAGGGTACAGACCGAAATTATTTATAAGTCTGAAACAGGAAAAGACAACACACATCGTCTGGATGAGGGAAGCACAAGGGAGGAATTGTGTCTGAGGGTTTACAGAGATTCTGAGACTTAAAAAGGACATGAGGGAGTGGGGCCCAGGAAAATGTCGCAAAAGCATGATTGACAGCTGATCGGTGCATTGCAGTTTATGGGTGGGTGGGACTGTAGAAGCAGTAGGGTCCAGGACTGGGGCACGTATATTACGTTAGAAGAGCGTGCACGATTGGTTTCAGCTTCCTCTGGCCAGAGCTGTCAGTACATGATATGCATGACCGTGGGACCCCAGGACCCCAAATTCTACAGGCACACGGAGGCAAAGTCCCTGGTGGCGATGCTGCTTCTCCCCAGGTGTACTAAGGGAGTGACAGCCATCTACCCTCTCATGCACGCTGCCTGATGGGATGAATTCCGTGGAGGCTGAATGTCTGCGGAGACTCCTACCTAGATGTGGGGCTTCTACTATAAACTAGCGCCTCCTGCAAACTCAGTGCTCAGAAACTTAAAGTCAAATACAAAGATGACCTAGCCAATTAAAAGGAGTAGGATTGGGCTTGCCCCCCCATGTCTGCCTGGCTGCAGATGGCCTGCTCTTTAGCTGAGCCCCAGATTTTCCTGAAGCGGTTGGTAGCCATGGCGGCGCTTGCTCCCCAAGAATCCTGCACCTCCAGGAATGCTGGAGCCACTGGCCCAGGTTCTAGTGCTCCTATAGTCACTGATAGGAGGCTCCTCTTTCACATCTACATCCCCCACCCCCCGCCACACACACACACACACACACACACACACACACACACACACACACACACACAGAGAGAGAGGCAGTCTGTCTATGGAAAACAAGGCTGTCTTGGAATCCCAGCATTCCAGCGCTGAGTCTGAGAAGGCAAACAGTGTAAAGACTCCCTGGCCAGCAGAGAGCCCTGGCCCTCTGAGCCACCAGGGCCTCCTAGAGCAAGGCCACACTGGCTGCATGCCTCTGCCCAGGAGGGCCCAACTTCCTCTTCCAGTAGCTGTGCACTTCTGAGCAGTTATTCAGCCCCCTGCTGTACCCCTGTTTTCTCATCTGTATCATAGGGGATCACAACAGACTGACTTACCTCGTAGGGTTGTTGTAGAGATCAAATGACACAGCATGCGCGTGGGAAGCACTTAAAACCATCCTTGGCATGTTATAAGCCTTCCGGAAATTCTAGTCATTTTTGTCTGTAGTAGTCAGAGCAGTTACCTACCTTGAAGGGTCATTGTGAAAATCAAACAACGTGTGTCCACTCGGGCATGCCCTAGGTTTCTAATCCATTGTGGCCACCATCCTTTGTGTTAATGTTGTTGCTATTTTGTTGTCCTGAGGATTCTAGGAAGAAACCTGAGATCCTGCAGGCTTGGTGGTGAGTCCAAGTTGTCGGGCAGGTTTTTTCCCTTCTGAACCCAATCTTTGTTCTCCCTCCTCTAGGCCAGGGATCTGGACCGCATAGAGGCTGAGCTAAGGCGCCATGACACCTTCTATAAGGAACAACTGGGGCGCATTGAAAAGAAGGTAAGGTTTCTGCTGAGCCGGCTTTCTTCCGCCACAGATCTTAAAGCCATCTGACAGAATCCACCACCATTGTCACAGGAGAGGGGGAGGGACCGGTCATGCTGGGCCGCCCTCCCTCATGGACCCCATGCCCCCACCCACCCATGGATGACCTGATGGCCCCCACTGTGTTCCACAGCAAGCACCCTAAACCCAATTGTTCAACAAGTTGCAGTCAAAGAGATAATTGGTTTTTAATTGCCTTGGTTTGGGTCGAATTCTGCTGGCTCTATTATACTTCAATTTTAGAGGAAAAATCACTCTCGCCACATGGCGGTGCTGAGAACCAACGTACCTTCCTGACTTTAGTTAAGCTGCATTGGATAAAAATAATAATAACGTGAGGTCTTGCTATACAAATATATTAAAGTTGTATTATTGATCTTCTCCTGGGAGTTGGAGAGATCAAAGTGCATCCTGATAAACACTGTCTGCTTTTCTGAGGCTAAGCCTTTGAAATGAACGAGATTTAAAGACACACCATCACGCCTCTCTTTTTCTTTTTCCTTCTCTAAGTCTGCAGTGACTTTTGATAATTCATTGGGTAACCTGCATGCTCTTTTTTTTGGTGGGGGGGGGGTTGCTTAATTTGTTGATCATGACCGATTTTTCTAAGAAACGGCTTAAAACGTGGGAGGGAATGGTTGGGAGGGTAACACAAAGTATTCGCCCTCATGCCTGAGACTATGCCAAGCAACCTGAGCCCTCAGCTTATTGCAGGCAAATCTTTGCAAATCATTTGTCACGGTTTAGAGCTTTGAAATTGACAGTTTGCTTGAGGGGCTTGATTTCCATAGAGGTTTTTCTCCTGTGTCGTGCCACCGTGGAGCCTGTAGAAACGTGGATTGCTGGATTTCCAGGCTGTGGGGACAGGTGGGGGAAGGAGGGGGCTTACCCTCTGTGGGATATTTGGGGGCTGGTGAGAACTGAGGGGACAGGAACGCAAAGTGCTCATGGTGACCTCCAGGAAGGTCTGGAGAAATGGGGCGCGATACATCTCGGAGCCACGGACAGAATTGGCCCTTCAGCAGCAAATGCTTTTTCCTGCAGCAGTTTCCTTGCATAGATGGGGCTAGAGCTTGTTGTGGCAGGGACTGTGGATTGCCAGCCTAGGAAAAGGGTAAGAAATATCCACCAGCCATAGCTCTAATTAGCACAGATGTCCATATGTTCATGAGCATGGTTTTTTTTTTGTTATTATCTGCACAATTTTTTGGTCTGCTGCGCTCCTCTCCTGTTTTTCTCTCTGAATTTGGCTTCTAGAAGCTTGTGTACATGTGTGTTGTTAGCGTAGCTTTCCTGCATTTTTCCTCAGGTAAAAGCTCTTTTCCCTTTGTCCCTCTCATCTCTACTCCTTAAAAAACATCCTCTGTAGTGCAGAAGGAGAACAAATCTCCCTGAAAGAGCCCCCTTTCTGGTCTGTCCTTCCCCATAAAGCACAGTCCCAACTTCCTCCATATGCAGATGCTTTGCAGGGAGGTTTGCCTATGTGATTGTGATTGTGAACAGTTATTAAATGCTTCAAGAAAGAGGTTTTAAAAAAAATGACTCCCCCGCCCCCAGACTCTTAAGCACTAGCATTGTGCTAGTAATAGTGATTTTTTTTTTAAGAAGAAAGGAAGCTCCAGTTACATCCCAGGAATGGAGATTGGTGAGTGCGACAGGGGGATGAGGAGTCACCAGAAGACGAGGGAGCGAAGAGATATGCTAATCAGGCTTAATTGTATTAGTTTTGAAAAAGGTTTTCAGTCTTCACCCTAGATAATTTTATTCCTGTGATGACTAGGAAGATGGGAAACAGCGTCTGACCATCTTTTTTTTTATTAGCTCTTGCTTTTATATCATTCCGCTTTCATTTGTCGAATGCTCCCAGACCTTGGCATTTCCAGCTTGAGTACACACTGCTTCGGGACCTTCCAATCCCCACGCTCCTTTCCTTCCTCCCCCCACCCCTGTTTCCTTTTTAGTTTAGAAATTAATGGTGGAAGCCTGGTGGGAACAGCTGCCGCCTCCTCCTTGACCAAGGACCGCAGCTCGGGGCAGGCTGCTCAGTGTGCCCAGGGTAAGAGAGCCGGGTTGGGGCGGACAGAGGCCAGGCAGAGGCTTTTGGAGAGATGTGCTAGGTCCAGGAGCCTCTTGGCTGGAGTCCTGCTGCCCTTCCTCCCTCGGAAACCTGTTCCGAAGCGCTGGCCCGGCCTCCTCCGTTCACTCTGACTGCCAGCAGGGGCAGCACACAGAGATCCAGAGGCATGTTCCACGGAGAGGAGCCTTTCTGACAAGCATGTGCCGCGGCGTTTATTCCCTAGATGATTTCTCTCGAGAGCAGAAATCACATTTTGTAGGACTTCAATACTTGATAATCTTTCTGAGTAATTGTTCCTCATGCCCGCATGACAAGACCTAAGTGAAGATTATTTCTTTCCTTTTCGCCACAGAGAATGATGCGCTCCAGAGGGAGGCAGGAGCCTCGTGGAGGGAGGGTGTTGGAGAAACTGGGCATTGGTGTTCACAGAGAGGCTGGCATGTTCAGCTCAAAGAGCTTGGGCCAGTCTAGGGGGCCTGGGCTTGTGAGGGGCTTCAACATCATAATTCCATTCTACTGCAAGTGACGGGGCCTCTTTAAAGACCAGTGTTGTCATTGGGTAACAGAGAAAACAGTATGTTTTTTGTTTTTCCGGGAGCTGATGGGAAGGTGACATGAGGTGATGTCCATAGAAGCGCTGGCATTACCGGATACCTAGGATTGGCGGCTCATCCTCTGGGGGGCCAGGTATCTGGAGCATACCAACTAGGCGGAGGCCTCTCAAGTCTACCAGGAGATCAGCCATCAGGCCTGGCAGCTCGGTGTCTCTCCCCGTTCCTCTTACCCTCTGCCACCCCCACCATCTCTGAGCCTCATGGGGCCGGGGTGATACATCTGCTGAGTTGTTCTCTGCGACTTCTTGAACCCCGTTTTCTCTTTCCCGATGTCCTCCTGGTTCTTGGAGAGGGATTCACTCGCAGTGTGATCAGACAGCCATTGTAAACCCAACCCCCCTGGTCCATTTGTTTGTTTTTTTTTTTATTGTTGTTGTTTTGGTCATTCTGGTCAGTGTGTATGATATCATGTGGAATTGCCATTTGCATTCCCCCGATGAGTAATGAGCTTGAACCTTTCAGTGTATTTGTGGAACACTGGGGTATGTTCTCTTGAGAAGTGAACTTGCTTGTATTTAACTCCCTCTCCTCTAAACACCTCGAATTGCTTTTGTTTTTCTGAGAGCTGTTGGTCAATGAGGAGACCGGTGGGCCTGGGATAGGCAGGGGCTTGTTGAGTGCGCTTAGTGGCTGGCCATGCACGGCTGGCAGAATCTGGTGATAGTCTTTCTTTAATAAATAGAGGCCCCCGTAGAAGCAAAGCATTGGGAGCAAGGGCAACTGCTGGCAGAGGCAGTGACACCTGGGAGGGAGAGGGCAGGAAAGGAGATCAGCATTCTTCAGCAAAGAGCCCTACACTTGGAAAGAACACAAAGTCTCCCTGACTCAGTCTTGAGGCTAGGCCCTAGATATAAGGTGGCCAGATTTTGACACTGGTAAAGTGGCACAAAAGCAGGACACCATTGATAAAACTCATATCCTGGCGAAATAGCCACACGGCAGCTGAAAACTGTATACCCTAGCTTGTCGTGCATTCTTTCCAAAAACCGGGACTTTTTAAAAACGCCACGGGATGCAGGAAAAATTGTTAAAAATTGGGACTGTCCTGCCAAAAGCGGGATGTCTGGTCACCTTACAGGCCTAGAAACACCTGTCCGCTCCACCGCTTTGTAGAAATTACAATTCTAAAAAGTGAAGCAAGGCCCCATAAAGAGATTCTGGTTACAGGGCATCTCCCTCCCCCTAAGCTAGTGTGGGGCTTCTCAATCTCTTTCTGCCTTCTTTCAAGTAGACTGACTTTCTTAAGGCAGGAGCCTGCTGTCTGAGCCTCTCCAGGTCCAACCATTTTATTGTGGTGGTTCGGTGCCTTGAAGTCAGGCCCAGTTCACAGTGACCCTCGTACAGCAGAATGAAACTGCCCAGACCTACAGAATGAAATCCACGTGAGATCAATGAACAGAGATGCTTCTTTTATGAAAGGAGGAAGAAGCGGATAAAAAGGTAACAAACTAGAACTGAATACTTCCATGTCAGGTTCCCTACGGATTGCTTTACATACGTTACCACCATTTCCCAAACAGGCAGCAAGCTCGTTTTAAAGCCCCGATTTCAAGGGTACGAATGCAAGCAGCCTGCTCAGAGTCACTAGACTGTTAAGTATTGAGCTTCAACGGAGACTGGGGTCAGCTTGACGTCAAGGGTCCCTGTTTCTGCCGCCCACTTGGCTCCATCTCTAGCTGTGGGAGAAAAGCTCTGGGCCGGTCAAAGCTATGCATTCAGTGGATGTATTTCAAGTCTCCTTCAGAGGCATTCGGCACCACGGGGGTCTATTGTAAGGTAAAGAAAGACCATGGCTGGTTAGGAAGAAACTCAAATCACTCTTAACACCAAGAGAACTGAATCCAGAGGTGGTATAGCTAGGGCCTGCTAGTGTTTCTTTGTCTCTGCCTCACTGCCATTGAGCCAAGTCTGACTCCTAGCGGCCCTCTAGGACACAGCGTGGGGCCCTGTGCCATAGGAGCTGGCAAAGTGGCAGCTGAGACCAGAAGAGGATGGGCAAGAGGTTCTGGGCGATAGCTCTGCCTGTAGCAGGTGGCAGAGCATCTCACCTTTCTGGCCCAGCAGTCAACACAAGGAGATGGAAATGACGCTATACCCTACGGCTGCCAGGCATGTGGAAAACATCCAGTGTGAACAGCCCACGACCCAGGCTACTTTACACGGACCCATTTTCTCCCACTGCATAACCAATAGTGCCCCTTGCTAGCCATTCGAGGCAAGCTCTTTAATAACCACCGAGAAGGCTACCCCACCCACCAGAGAAT